GTCAAGTGTTTCAACCCACTATGAGTAAGTACCTCCTTATTAAGCTGCTGTTCTCAAGTGCTTTGCAAGGATCTGTTCGTGTCTTAGTCTGTGTGTGTCTGCAAGTCCCTGCACAGTCTACCCTAGCTCACATCCCTTCTGGAAGCCCGGCTGCCCAATCAGCTGTGTGAACACCTGTTCATCCTAACAGCGGTGCTGTGGGGACAGTTAAGCCTCATCAGGCCCTGGATCTTTCTGGCTGCTGGACATTCCGCTCCCTCTGGCTCCCTAGGGCCTGCTCTGCCCTCTCCATGCTGGCAAAGGCCTACTGAATACCAGCTGTTCCCTTGCCCTTGAAACCAGCCCCAGTCAGCTTCTCTCCCAGCCTCCCTGCTGTGCCTGGCCACTCCCAAATGACTCCATACTGCAAAAAAAGGAGCCTGCGACAGCCTGGGTCTGCAGCTGCTCTGGAGAAAGGGCAGGAGGAACTTGGAGATGGTAAAATAAGGAGCAGTTGAAAAGATAGGAAACAGTGGAGAGATGGAAAGGGGAATGAGGTTGATTTTCTGCAGGATTCATATAAGAGGCAGGAAATCAACCCAATATATGACATGAGGGAGTAAGAGAGGTGTTTTTTTTTTGGATCGAACCCAGGGCCTCACACATGCTAGGCAAGTGTGCTACCATTGAGTTACACCCCAGCTCCAAGAGGGAGTTTCTTCTAGGGTGAGGTGGTGGAAGGGGAAATGGGTTGGAGTTCCAGAGACCCGAATCCTAGTTCTTATTCTGACGTTGAGTTGCAGTGTTCTTGCATATAAGGGGACAGTTGAATGGACCCCCTTTGAGGTACTACACAGCTCAAAAAGTCACTACTTGGAAAGCTGGACAAACCCATCGACTCTGAAATTAGAAAGACCTGGATTTAAATCCTTGCTTCTACTCCATGACTGTGAGGTAGTGGGCACTGCACTTGGCCACTCCGAGTTGCTTTCTCACCAGGATTAAATGAAATAAAAATAGATGAAAAGAACCTGAAATAACTATTGGTGCATTTTGGGCACTCCAGAAGCTGAAGCTAATATTATGACAATCATTAAAAATGTTAAATACCTGTTCCTTTTAACATGCTCCATTTACTTGGGTTAGACACAAATGCTCAAAAGCATATTATATTGTTTTTTTTTTCCCCTCTGCTTTCTTTTCCACTATAATCACTTCAGTTCTGTGCTGCTCATGCTAGCCCCTTAGGTAGTCTGTGTTTGTTCAACTCGGCCTCCAAGAAAATGTGTTCCAAAATCTTGGAACAGGAGGGTAACAACAATCAAAACAGCAGGTTGCCACACTTAGCAAGTTTTAGGGAATTATTTAATACTAAATCAAGGGAAAACTGACTGAAACATAACCAGTCCAATGGCTCCTGCGGGCCCTGTAAATTGAAGGAAATGTTTAAGAACAGGGTAGATATTACAGGACAAAATTATTTTTGCATTCTCTCTTGCTCTGAAAATTGTTGTTATGGGATACTGAACATAGTGGGTGCTCATTAAACGGTTCTTGATTGAAACAAGGATGTTGTAGGGCCTTAACGGTTCTCCTCCCTGAAGACCACCGCACATCCTGGATGTGACTGGCATGAGCCATTTGCAGCCTGATGTTTTGTTTATTTAGTTCTCATTTGGGGCTGCTAGAATGTAGGGTGTTTGGTTGCAAGCAACAGAAATCGAGGCCCTCTGATTCACGCAGTTGCGTAGAAGGATGTCAGGAGGAAGGCTGTCACCAGGAAGGCTGGAGGATCCAAATTAGCAAACAATAGGGCTGCAGGATCTAATTGACAGGGGACTCCTGCAGGGATAAATCAATGAGCCAAAAGACAGCACCACCTTTCCGATTCCTTAAGGAAACAGGCCTGCTCTTTCCATTGCCATTCTCTCTCAGGCCCAGCTCCCAAATGCTGCAGGATGCATCCTTCTGTGACCCTGGGAAGTATAGTGCCCCATTGGAGGACAAGCCCATATGTATACCTATGCCCAGCAATTACTTTAGCCTGCTCTTTTGCTTACAATACAGGCCATTTATAAGGACATTCGTGTGATTCATGTGTAACCTTCAGCCCGGTGAACGCTGTTGCCTTTGATATTAATCTTTGAGTCCTGGATAGTTAATTTTCTATCTCACCTGGTGTTGTTATTCAGTCATTTTGTCTATACTAGTGTTTGGATAAGTGTCTCCTGAAGGTCTGTGGGCCAGAGGCCTGATCCCTAGGGTGGTGTTTTTTGGGAGGTACTGTGTACCTTTAGGAGGTGGGGCCTAGAAGGTGGTCCTGAGGTAATTAAGGGTATGCCCTTGAAGAGAATTTTGGTACCCCAGCCTCTTCCTGTACTTCTTTCCCTCCTGGCTCATTAAGTGAACAGTTTGTTTTGCTATGTGCTCTTTTTTATAATGTGCTGCCTTGTAAGAGATCCAAAGCAATGTGACCATTCAATCATGGGCTGGACTCTTCAGAACCATGAGCTAATATAAACCTTTTTTCTTTATCAATTAATTACCTCAGGCATTTCATTATAGTGATGGAAAGTTGACTAATATAGTGCCTGGTATGATTAAGTTTTAAAAATAAATGATGAACACCGTGCCCACTTATATTCTAAAGAATAACCCTAGGGGATTGGCTAAACAACTCCATCTACTATGGAATTATTTCCATGGTATGCTACACTCATTTGAGAACACAACTAGGGAATTAGTTCCTCCCATAGGCTTTATTTCCCCAACTGTATTCTGAAATACACGTAAAATGCATAAAATGACCTGCATGGTGAGTTTGTCTACTAAACCATACAATATACATAGAGCACCTGACATGTATTTGGAAACAATACAAAAGAGAAGGGCTATAACTTTAATTTTTGTATGTCTTTCCTCAGCCCCATCTAACAATCAGTGACTCAGCCTTTGTTGGTTTATATCACAGATTATAAGGCAGGAGAAGGGTGGAAGAAAGGAGAGGAGTGGCCATATTTCCCGGCATGGATTTCTCCACGGTAAAGAATTGGCTTACCCTATTCAGTGAACACACCTCAGCTCCTCCTTCTGTGTTTCGGCTGTCCACGTTGCTGCTAACAATTTTACTTCCAATTCAGGAGTGACATGGAATTACTTTTTAAATGGGCATGCATTATTTTGAATGAAAATAATAAAGCAGATGTCTATTTGTAATCAAGCTCTGATAATTTCCATTTTTGCATCAATCTGCTGATGACAAAATTGGAAGAGAGAGAGAGAGAGAGAGAGAGAGAGAGACTAAGAGAGTGAGAGCAAGAACTATAGAGAGCTGACTCTGTCTGACCTTGATGATACGCCTAACCCCTCAGCGAGGGGAAGGGATGTCATGCTGATTTACAGTTCTACAAATTAGGGCAAGTTGGTTTCCATGAAAGAAAACTGGGTCACAGTTGCCAGAGGACAAGGAGTAGATGCAGCGGGTGGTGCAGAAACTCCAGATCTCCACTACAGGGTTCTCAGCATATATTCTCATAAATCTATAAAGCCCTGAAATAAACCACTCCACAACAAGGTTTGGGAGGAAAAAGAGATTAAGATATGGCATAAGTTAATCATTTCGTCAAGTGCACAAAGTTATACTTTATTATAACTAACAATCCCTATGGAAGGAACAGAAATTGTATACACACACATACACACACACTACACACATACATATATACGCATATAACATACACATATATACATATATATCGCACATATTTACACATATACATACACCTTTAAAATTGGGCTTACAGCAGAATGATTCACTCACAGTTCACTACCGTCACCTGTAGTGGACATTAATCTGTCTGCTTGGTTTGTTTGGGGCCTTCCTGCCCACGTCCCTCCCTCTTGCTCTCTGTCTAGCCAGTCTGTCTACCTTGTAGTCGATTATATAACAGAGTCCAGGGATAAGTTCTGGTAGTCCTAGTCCTCGGGAGTCCCCCACTGAGGAAGAGAGATTGGATAAATTCCATTTGGCCCGTGGCCTTGAGGATGCCCGACTTTGGGTGTTTGAGTACAGCTCGAGTCAGCACCACGGGCTCTGGCTCCAGGGTTTGTGCCTCTAGCTCTTACTGCAGTCCCTCCTGCAGGAGCCCTGGAGCTTTTTCTCACTCCCCATCCTTTATTCCTTTCCTTTGTAATCCTGCTCTCACTTGCATAGTTACGTGCCCACTGGCTGGGTGCCATTCAACTCCATGAGGTTGCTCTGAATGCTGGAGAAAGTCTGCTCAGCCCCTCCAGGACCTGTTCACTGGCCAGCTCCTTCCTGAGAACTGGTTGGGTCTGCCAGGTGCAAGGTGATCTATCCCTCTGTCCCACACCCTCTCTCTACCTGCAAATCCCCTTTGTGAGGGGACTCCAGAAGGCTGGTTTCTCACCCAGCTTCTCCGGAAAGCTCTCTCTTTCCTCTAAGGGTGGACATTTTCTCTGGTCACTGAGCACTCTTTGGTGCCATCAGCTGATCTGAGACTCATCTCAGGAGCTCCACGGGGCAGCTTGCTCAACATGCATTGTGGAAGGGCAGCGTTATCCATGCCCACCCCTTTCCATCTGCCCTTTTTGGACAGAGGCCAGCCAGAGGAATGTAGAAGGGATTTTAATTTAATTTTTATTCATTTTCAAGTCTCCAAAGCCATAAAATTATGCTTGGGAAAATGATATAAGACTCAGTATGAAAAAAAGTTGAGGAAGTGTCTTTGCAATCTCTTCCTTGATCTTGCCAGTTTTCTGCTCAGAGGCTTTCACTCTCTCCCTCACCCTGGAAGGCAACTGAAATCCTTGCCTGCTGGAAGTGGGCCACCTTTCTAGCCATGCCTCCTGCAGCCCTTGCCCTCCCCATCCTGTTTTAGCCGCATTAGGCAATTCTCCATTCTCCTCTCCCTGTCTCTGTGGTTGAGCCAGTCCTTTACCCAGAATGCCTTGCCCTCCCAGCCACCCCTTCAAATCCTACTTGAGATTCCAGGGCTCCATCTCCACATCACTTCCATCAGGGAGAATTCCAGTTTCTACAGTTGGAGGGACTCTCTCTTCATTTCCTTCTGAGAGCTTTTGTGTGTAGTCCTCTTTTATTTCCACAATTTGCATTCTGTTGTGTATTTACCTGCTTACAGACTTATTTGGTTACTAGTCATTCACAAGGAAAAAATCTGGAATGCACACAGAACTTGCCTTGCGTTATTCTCACACCTCCAATCAATCAGCAACTCTGTTGATTTTGCCTGCTAGATATTTCTGGACTCCATCTCTTCTCTGGTAAGCATCAGCTCCGTGACTGGGTGCCCCGAACTGCCTTTATCCAATACTACAACCAACAGCCTTATCAATAGGGTTCTTTGCTGGGACCCTCTGGGCTGAAAGCCCATTATCCTAACAGGGTCGGTGGTTTTGTGTTTCTCTCCTCTATTAGTTAAAAAAAAAAAATCTCTCAGTGGCAACCCCATCGTGGTTACTAGGATCTGCTGCAGAGTCGAAGTTTAACAAGCATTGAATGAAGAGGCAGGCCATTGGAGTAGGAGGCACCAAACAAGCCTGGTGGGAGGCAATTCCCAATCCTTGACTCACATAAACATTCTGGGCAAGAGGGCTTTTCCTTCTGACCTCATTTTATACATCTGTAAAATGACAAAGATCATTTTATTTCTAAGGTCCAGTAATGAATCCATTTTTTTCCCCTCAATTAATTGGCCTTTATCTAACAATTAAGAAAGTAACTAGTGATTTGGGAGGCATTTTGCAAAAGATGGCTCTTCCCTCATTAAAAAGTGTTTTTATTTTTCTATTAGCTTCAGTTAAATGTTCATTTTCTTTCAAAGTGAACATAGGTTATTACTGATCAGACAGAACACAACTGCAAAGCTTTTCAAACTGGTGTGTGACTCTTGTCCCCTTTCATCTCTGATTGGGTCTCCCGGGCACCTAAATCATCATACTCCGTGGCTTTAGGCCCATGAATCAGAATCAAGTTAAAGATTGCCTGAAAAATCTGGTTAGACATAAAAATCAATAAAAGGAGGAAAAAAGGCAAGGCTGATTTCAAGCTACAAATTACATAATTCAGGGGGAGAGTACACATGGATTCCTCCTCTAAAGATTATGGAAAGTGGAAATCTGAAATGTTAATTCAACAGTTGAGGGAAATGACAGTAATGATTATATACCATGAAGTTTCTTCCTGTTTAATGGTTGGGGAAATGCACCCAGACTACGGATACCACAGCCATTTACTTCCCTCCCTACACCCTCCCAAGACCATCCCCAATTCAAATATTTCATCTTCCTCTTCCCATTAGTGTATCCATGCTGAGGTCATTTCATTTGGGAAAATATAGTCATTACTTCAACAGGTCTTGTAAGGTTTCATGAATTGTTACTCAGCTTGTCTTCTCTTTAGGGAAAAAATAATGTAATATTAGCAATAGAGGGACTTCTTAACTATTTTTGGCTGTGTATTTTCAAATTCCTTGTGGAGTATCTGTTTGAAGACCATCAAATTCCAAACCTGAAAGTCAGAATTTTTCTGTGAAAAAGAATACTCTTTCTTAGGAATCCTAGTTCTTCAATGGTATCTCTGTATGAGACAGGGCTTATTGGGTAGGAACTTATTGTGTGGAATTATTGACTTGTTGGTCAGGATTAAGCCTAGGAAAGTTGCTAATGTGTTTGGACAAAGGTAACTGAACTAGGCATCATTCACCAAGTTATTTTTTTCTGGGAAGTAAAGTGAGAGAAGAACTGCTGGAAGCATACTGGCAGCCTAGAGTCCAAATGACAAGTTCTTATGGAGAAAAGCAAGGGTACAGGTGGAGTATCCCTTATCCAACATGCTTGGGACCAGAAGTGTTTCAGATTAATTTTTGTTTGAATATTTGCATACACATCATTGGCATATATACCAAGTCCAAACAGAGACTTAAATTCATTTAGGGTTCATATATGTCTTATGCACATAGTCTGAAGGTAATTCTGTATAATATTTTAAATAATGTTTTTGCATGAAACAAAATTTCATGGAGTGGAATTTTCCACTTGTGGCATCATGTTGGCATTCAGAAGAGTTATTTTGGAACATTTTGGATTTTGCAATGTTGGGTTGGGGATCCTCAACTTGTACGACCGATGGGAAGGACGCTGGGGGATGTGAAGTGAGGAAGGAGCTGTGGCCTGTGGAATTACTCTTCTGTGAGCATTATCGTTTCCTTTCTTTGTCACTCTTCATTGTCATTTTGTAGCTTTAGCTTCCCTGACCTCGTGTCTTTCTTTTGCCATTTCCTATCCCTTCTTGTCATTTTTATGTCTTCTAAAAATATGTACTTAATTTTTTTTTTAAAAAAATATTGGTTTAATTATACAAACTTGTGGGGTACTGGGTTCAATGTGTTCAATACCTACAGTGTAATGAGCAAATTAGGATAGTTAATATTTTTATCTTCTTAAACATTTAAAAAATTTTCTGCTGATTAACATGTAATAATCGTACATATTTATGAGGTGCAGTGCCATATTTCAACACATGTCCATCACGTGTACTGATCAAATCAAGGTAATTGATGTTTCCATTTCCTTACCATTTACTTTGTGTTTGGATCCTCTGAGTGCCTCTCTTCTAGTTATTTATAGAATATGGAAGAGGTGATTGTGAAATATAGTCCCGTCACTGTTCTGTAGAACGCTAGAACTAATTACTTCTATCTGTGTTTTCTGCTTATAATTTTATTAATGACTTTGTAGAAGGGGATATTGAATAAGCAATGTGGCACATCATAAAGGTTTCCTACTATGTCATCCTGGTCCAAGGTGGAATGTAAGGGACGGTAGAGGATCAGGTAGGTCAAAAGAGCTGACAGAAGAAAACCAGAGGTTTTGATCAGAAGGTGAATCCAGGCAGTCCAGAGTCTTCACTGCGTTCAGGGATCTCAATAGGTGGGAAGCAGGAAAAGAACAGAGGTCAGGGCAGGGTCCTTGTGAGGCCTCTGCTCCCTTGTGGTCAGGTGGTCAGAGCAGGACTAGGGAGTTAAGGATCCCCAAGTGGACAGGGCTGGTTGGCTACTAGAGATATGATGTCTGTCCATTGTCTTTCCTAAGTAATTTGTTATAACAACAGTGAAAGATTCAATGCTTCTGAGTTTTTCAATAAATGAAGTAGAATCAATTTTTCTTGGGAAACTTCCTCACATGTGTTCCGATGCGCTGTCTAGTGAAGGGTCACAGTCAGCAGGAAGACGGCGGAGAGGATCCCTGAGAGAGGCGATCACAAGACCCAAACACAAAGGAATGGCAAAGAAATAGAAAAGATAAGGTCACTGCTCACAGTGAAAATCCTTCCTGTTCATAGCAGCAACAATTAAATGTTGTAAAGCATTTTGCTTTCATGAAAAAATTTTATGGGTTTTATAAAAATTTGAGGAGTGCATTGTGCATGTAATACCAAATATATTACTGAGGAGACAGAGACTGAGAATCTTGGATCGACACACTGATCTATGTGAGCGGAGGCGGGCAGGAAACCAGTGAGGAGCGGTGCGAGCCTGTTGGTGTTCAGGACCTGGAGTTCAACATCTGGGCCACAGACAGTTGGGAAGGTCAATGGCAGCGCATTCACCTCCCTTCCAGAACATGAATCTCACATCCATTTAGCCTTTCACATTCTAGCCATCCCTAGAACCTAGTCTTCGGGTTCTACATGCTTTCCTTCAGTATGGTCCAAATTTTCCTCTTCACTTCTCCTTTCCATGAAACCCCACCCCCTAACTTTGAGATCCAGTGTGTCTCCTCGCAGCCTTTTCCAATTCCTTTTTTCCTCCCATCCTGCCACTCTAGGAATCTTCCAGAATATTTGCTTGCATCCTGGTGCTTCTCTTCTTGGAAAAATTTCGGCAGAACACAGCACAGGAAAGAGGGCACCTGCTAGGCGCAGACCTCATCTCTCAAACCACTTTGCTTTTGAGCCAGTTGCTTATGATTTTACTGACTTGGCTTCCTTCTTGGTAACATGAAGGGATCTAACCAGCAGAATGTTAAGAACTATGATCCCTCTGCTTACATACTCTTCAAACATGCCCCCCACCCTGCCATTATTTTAATTCAATAGTGGTTGCTATTTGTAATTCGTGTTCATGTGCTCATCGGAGAAATTTTGAAAATGTAGACAAGCATAAGATGAAAACAAATGCAATTTAGTGGGGAAGGAGATTCTTGCTTTTTAATGGAGACCTTTGACATTTGGACGGGTGATTTCCCCCGTCCACCTTTAACTTTTGGTGCAGCTCATCCTTTGTTCCCTTCTTCTCTCTCTCCTCCAGCGCCTCCTGCAGGCTGCCTAACATTATGAGAGACTGAGTCCTAATAAAACCACGGTGAAGAAACAGGCATTGGAACCAGGTGAGTCTGGGCAATGCCTAACCTCATCCTGGCCTCACTCACCCTTGAGAATTTATTGTTTCTAAGTGTCTTTGACTCATTTGTGAAATGGAGACAAAAACCTTGTGAGGAATTTGGCACATAATAATAATTAAATAAATGTTGTCTCTGAAAACATCTCACTCAAGCTCTCCCTTTGTCTTGTAGGTTTTTCCAATGTGGTTCATACTGACTTCCCGATGACCTGACAGGATCACCTAGTTTGACATTTGGTTCATAGAATGGAGGGCCTACAGAACGGGAGAAAACTTTGCCAGCTACTCTTCTGATGGGATTAATATTCAGAATACATAAAGAAGTAAAAAAAAAATCAAGGAAAAAATCATGAAGTGGGCAGAAGATCTAAACAGAAATGGATATGCCTAACAAATACATGAAGCAGTGTTCAACATCTTTAGCAATTAGGAAAATGAAAATCCAAACTGTACTGAAATTTCATCTTGCTCTAGTCAGAATGGCAATTATCAAGAATATAAGAATAACTGATGGTGAGGATGTAGGGGGAAAGGTACACACACACACACACACACACACACACACACACACACACACATATATATATATATATATGTTTGGTGGGACTGCAAAATTAGTATGACCATTTGGGAAAGTAATGTAGACTTTCCCCAAAAGACTAGGAATAGGACCATCCTATGACCCAGCTATCTCGCTCCTTGGTATTTATCCAAAAGAACTAAAATCAGCATTGTGTAAAGATATAGCCACATCAACTTTACAGCAGCACAACTCACATTATGGAATCAGCCTAGGTGCTTTCAGTAAATGAATGGATAAAGAAAATGTGGTATGTATGTATACACAATGGAATTTTAATCAGCCATGAAGAATATTGAAATTACGCTGATGTTTGCTAGTAAATGGATGGAACTGGAGAACATCATGATAAGTGAAATAAATCAGATTCAGAAAGTCAAGGGCTGAATGTTTTCTCTCCTGTTGTGGAAGGTAGAGAGGAAAAGAGAAAAGGAATAAAAAAGGATCTCATGAAAATGGAAGGGAGACCAATAGAGTAGAGGAAGGGGAATGAGAGGGAGGGAGAGAGGGGGTGAGGGGAAATAGTAGGGAATTAAATCTACCAAATTAAGCTATGTTCATGGATGAATACACCACAGTGAACTCTGATTATATATATCTGTATATATACACACATACACATACATACATATATATAAAATTATACTGCACTAACTTAAAATATAAAAACAGAAGGGAAATCAGAGCAAGTGGATCAGGTGAGAGAGGAGGGAAGGGAAAAGGAAGGTACTGGGGATTGAAATTGATCAGATTATGTTATGTGCATGTTGGAATATGGCATAATGGATTCCACAATTATGTGTAATTTTAATGCACCAATAAAAAATCTGTATGAAGATACTGTTAACCTTAATTAGACGACATTATGGCAGTTCTCCTAGAGATAACCCCAAGTGGGTCACATCTCCGTGCCCCCCACTACAAGACACAGACACTTCATCCTACTGGACATCCTGTGATCCCCAAGGAGATTTGGGGTGGTGACCTGTTGAATTGGCCCAATGCCCTGTACCAAGTCACCCTGCTTTCCTCTCCTTGGGGGTGTTGACCTCCATCCTTCCAATGTGTGCTGAGTTAAGGAAGGTCTTTTAGAGGCTCAGGAAGGAGAAACCGCCTGCAAAGGAGGCTGTGGGGAGCTCACTTGGCAGCTCTGCCTTTGTGTTCATTTGCTGTCCATCACTAGCAGTGGCCATGTGAGGGTTGGACAATGGGAACTTTTACTTTCTGTCCTCTGCTCTCTGTAGCACAACACAGGGGAGGCTTATATCATGAGATTTTTTTTTTCCCCTCTTGGAGGAAAACATCAAAAACATGTAAAGGGAGAAAGGTTCTTTTGGCATCCCTCCCAGGGTAGCAAGTATAAGTAATATTTGTATAGAGAGTATAGTCACCCCTCAGTATCCACAGGAGATTGGGGCCAGGACCCCTATAAACACCAAAATCTGAGGATGCATGTGTCCTTTGTATAAAATCCATAATATTTGCAGACAATCTGCACAATCATCCTGTGTACTTCAAATCATTTCTGGGTTAATCATAACACCCAATGCAATGTAAATACTCATATACTGTATTGTTTGGAGAATAATGGCAAGGAAAAAAATCTGTATATGTTCAGTATAGACTCATATTTTTTAGTACTTTCCTTAACCTGTTGCTGGTTGAATCAGCAGATGTGCACCCCTAGGATACGGAGGGCTGACTGTCTCTCTTTTGGACCTGATGCAGGAAGAAAGCATTCTTTAAGGCCCTCTGGTGCACGAGTCCCCGCCCCAGCTCCCTCTGTAATGAACTCTGCCAGCCGCTGGCTCTCATCTTTGAATGAGGAACAGGTGAGCACTCAGGTGTTAGGTGGAAGGTGAGGAGGCTTTGGATCTGCATTCCACAGCACCTTCCTGTGCCTCATGTTGACCTCCCATTGGATAAGTCTCCGGTTGGCCATCTGCCTAGGGATCAAAATCTGGCTGTGAGTCTTCTCCATGTGACATGCATTTGGGTGTCCGGCCAGAAGTCGACCCCAGGCTTGTCCATACAGAAGGCTGTCAACAGCTCGGCTTTGGCTCTCTGACTGCACAGTTCTGTTCTGCTCCATCCAGGAGCCCAGAGTGTGCCATGCCAGTGGCACAGATAAGCATCAGCTGCCATGGGCATTTCATTCCAGGTCATCAGATGGGCTTTATTTTTGGTCCATCACCCCACCTTGCAGTGTGGAACCTGGAGTTCTCCAAATGCCCCAGAACAGTGCTGTCACTGAGGTATTTTAAATCCTGCTCACTATGTACTCAAAATCCAGGGAGAGAAGCTAAACAGAAACACTTGGAGAGCTACCAGAGTACAAATGGAGTTAGTAACAATTGAAGTGGGGGCGGTGAGCTCTTGGCTCAGGATCTGAGCAGACTTGAACCAAGGGACACAAAGGGATCGTTCGCTTTCTTAGCAACTCCTGCAGCTTTGGGATTTGCTAAGTATAATTCAGAATGCTAATAAGAGGAACAGGCAGAGGGGGTAAAGATTTGCTCTGGTTTATTAGAAATGATAGAAATTCAGAATCATGTAAATGGGTGGCTTCCTTCTATCAGGCATGCTGGCAAGGGAGGGATGTAGAGTTGAAGGCTGAGCAGGGGCTGGGGCTGAGATTCCTGGGGAACCATGTGGGTGGGCAAGCCAGAGGTTGACTCAAAACAGGGGTCACCCACAGACATGAGCTCTAAGGCACAGACACTAATTCTAGACCCTGAAGAGACTGAGACCACCTGCTTCCCTACCACTCTGTTAGAATTTGAGATTTCCAAGAAAAATCACTGGAGATGGCCCCTGGTCACTGCAGTAGCTCAGCACCATGGGGAAGACCACTGTTCACCTTTGCCCTGAGCAACCCCCTATTTTTCCTAGGTGACGATTTTAAGGTTTTAATAATCCCATTAGCTATACTATTCCTTTCCCTTGGATCTTGTTCGTGGAGAGTAGTCATGGAGTGGCTGCTTGTGCCTCTTGATTAGCACACTTCTGTCCTACACTGGGTGGGCCGTAAGGGGCAGATTTCATTACTATGACATTTTGTTGCACCTGAGGCCACCTGCTTCCCTACCACACTGTTAGAATGAACGTATTAGTGCCACACAATAAAGACATCCTGGAGAGGTGCTGTCAAGGGGAACTTATACCCATCGCTGAAGATTCTGATATGCCCTGCTGAGTGAGGCAGTGTCCCCTATGCTGCAGTGAGCCACTGTCACCAGTGGACAAGGTGAAGAATACAGGTCAGAGATAGTCCTATGGTTTAGCTGCCTCTGGGGTCATCCCAAAGGTAAAGTGGCCCATGCATCACTACAGAAGCCCCAAGGACATCCTGCTACCATGCACATGTTGTACTGTGTTTAGAGGTTCAAGGATGAATGACAGGTCTCCAGCTTAGTAATGAACATGCAGGTGGCCCAGCCATGGATTTCTGTCAGGATGTAATTTTGCTTTATGAAAACTAGGCAGGCTTGAATCCAGGACTCGAGTTTCTTGAACCTATTCATTTCTTGTGTCTCCAAATATTAGACATTATTTCCCACATGTCTTATGTGTTTTTTTGCTTGATACCTATATTTTGGGTGCAGGTATAATTTTGTGGAATCCCTCTAAAGTGAGTGGCAGGGACAGTTAGCCCCACTTCCTACATGAGAAATGAGACTCAGAGCAGAGCAGTGACTCTTCCAGTTCACACATCTCATCACTAGTGGAACCTGGGCCTTCAGCTCCTCTCTTCATTTCCAAGCTCTTGCTATTTACCAAACCTATCTATTAAAGAACCAAGACTTTGTATTTGAGAGTAATGAGGGATTCTGTAAAAAAACCCTTAGTACTGCTTAACTAATTTGAAAGTGCAAAGGAACTGAGTCAAAAAGAACTGGGATAGGTGAACTGTTTTATTGTTATCAATTGTAATATTGTTAATAATGATTGATGCCAAATTTATATATCGATTAAAAACATGTGAGATTTGATACAAGGTCAAAATGACACATTGAATTGGCTCTCAAATTGTGCTAACTCCACATGAGAATCTCATTGTAACCGCGATTTTGCAAAACTGATGAAATGAAGAGAAAAGCATCCAAGTGTCAAAGGCTGTGTTAGGAATGGTTGATAATAAGCTTGACCTCTCAGAGCTGCCTGGATGGATGCACAGTAGGTGCTCAATAAGTGTTGATGGATGTTTGGGTTTATGAAGATTTCATTTGGCCTTTAACCCCAGGGAGCATGATTTTTTTAATGTGGTCTTTAAAATGATGCTCTGAAAGCTTATAAATTTAAAGACTGACTTGGAGAAATCTCAAACTGCTATTTTCGTTTAGGTATCTCCCCTTTTTGGGCTGGAATACTATAAAGGAGTTCCAAATGTTATATTTTTCACCTGCAAATACATCTATGTGTACTTCCAAAAGATAAACCATTAAAAACCCACCACAGCATCATGGCAATGCAATTACCCATCATCCCTTAATAATCCAGAGAATCTCCTCTGTCTTGGAAGATTGTCTCAGAATGGTATTCTTGCATTAGGTTCCTCAAATCAGAGATCATAGATTAAAGGAGACCCAAAGCAGATCAACCAAATCCAATGTGGTGACCATGTCTGAAATCTGATTTGAAGAGAATTAGGGCTAGAGGCTTGATTAGATTCAGATACTTTAAAATACTTTAGATAGATAAAATAATGTACTTTAACTCACAACATTTTGAAAAAAAATTTCTGTGTTTCATGAAGACATATCTTATTCTAGGTCTCAATTCCTGAACAAAATTGCTAACTAAAATGAAGAGTGATTTTGAGACAAC